TTAACAGGGTCGTCATCAATTACCATGGTCTAAAATGTTGTTTGTCTGCTTGTTTTTGTGCTTGAAAATCTAACAGACAAAATTTGTTATCATTTGCCGTGGCGATCGAATTGGTTGCAGCTCGCAATATTGGTCCAACTGAAAATGTTGATTTCTGGTTTTTGTGCTTAAAAGTCCAACGGAGAAAAATTTATTATCACTTGCTGTGGCGACCAAAATGGTTACAGCCTGCAATGCTGGTCTAAAATATTTGTTTGCTTTTCTTTTGTTTTTCTTTTTTTCAAGGTATCATAGATCTACTGGGCGGAGTCGGTGGACTGGTTGAATACAAGGCTTGTCTTCTGGCTTCTCATGGCTTTGCTGCACTAGCACTGGCTTACTTTGCATACGACGATCTTCCCGTCGAACCAGAATACTTTAATCTTGATTATTTTGCAGAGGCAGCAGAATGGCTTCGCAATTATCCCAGTGTTGTGTCAAGTGGTGTGGGTTTGCACTCAATCTGTATGGGAAGCTGGCTTGCGCTTCTTCTTGCAAGCTACCGAAATGACCTGGTAAAAGCTGTGGTAGCAATATCACCATGGAATGCTCCTTACTGGAAACCTTACCGATATAACGGTAAACTGTCAAATGTATTTCAAGTGGAAAATGCGCAGATGAAAGTAACTGATGAAGGCATCATATGGAAGAATTGTGTTGCTCGTGCGAAAGAAACTGCTCTTGCTTCAGCCGAGCTACCAGCACTCACACCGGTCGAACGAATCACTTGTCCTATTTTGCTTGTTTACGGAACTGATGATCAGAATATTGATTCGGAATTTATCACAAATTGTATATCTGGATGTCTGAAAGCAAAGGGAAAGGAATCATTTTGTACCATTTTACGGCAGCACAATGCTGGTCACATAATTGAACCCCCCTATACTCCACTATGTAATGCAGCGTATATGAAGACATTTAAGCAGCATTGGGTGTATGGTGGGGATCCCAAGAACCACGCCTTAGCACAGGAAAACACGTAGAAAAAAATTTTAAATTTCCTGGGAAAAAATCTAAGGACCTGTAAGAGCACTTTATAGCTCATTGGGTGTTCGGTGGGGATCTCGAGGACCACGCCTTAGCACAGGAAACCACGTGGAAAAAGTTTAGAATTCCTTGGACAAAATTTAAAGACCTGTAAGGGCACTTTATAGCGAGTACAAGAACACAAAAACGGTTCACTGATAGGTTCTTCGCAGCTACATCCAATCTGTTGTAATGGGGGTGCTATTCTAGGTTGATCAACAGATTTTTAACTAAAAATTCCAATATGGGTTTATTCCAGATTTAAAATTTTTTGTCAGCGTGAATCTTCGGCAACCGTTTCCAACGTTGTGCACCACTGGTTCGGTCGCGGTTTGTAAAAATCTGAATTAAAAATGAAAATAAAGCGAAGGGGAAAAGAAGAATAATGAACGAAACAACCACATAAAAGGGCCGGAAACTTGTCATAGCTAAGACACCTGCTCCATCGTTAATTTATACGATGACGCTGACAGAATACACTTTTTTCGCTTGCTTCCGCTCGCCTTCGGTCGCTGTGGAAAATCTGAAGGTGAAGTCAGGGCGAAGCTAGGTAAACCGTTTGATTTTCTTCTAAGACAGCATTGGTTTAGGTAAGTTACTGTGTGTAACTGACCGATTTGTTGTATAAAAGATAGATTTATGTGTTTCTTTAAAATATAGCGGAGGTGATTTGAAATTTGAGGCAAGCCTCATATTGATTCATGATCAAAATGGAGGGTTTTAGTTTTACGTTAGATGTTTTTCCGTCTGTTTCTCTAGTCGTTCCTGTGGTTACCAATGGTTTTTTTCCAATTTCCTTGCTTTTTCAATGAAGCGATTTTCAGCGATTTGGACCACGATCAACAACAGTTGTACGACAGCTGTCAAAGTAAAGCAGATCAGAATAAAGCGAGAACTTTGAAGGACTGCATTTTATCCGCAAGACAACGGGTTGATCGCTTTAGTCTTTCTGACCCTAAACAAAAATGTTTTATTTCTTTGAATGTTGTAAATTGGTGCCTGATACAATAGGGAGAAGCTGAAGTTTATCATATCCCCGCCATTGGCGTTCGCCAACTTAAATCAAATGGCTACCATATCATGACAATATGGCTTGGCTTTGTGAACGGTATTGAAAAGAAAAAAGAAAAAAAAAAAAAGCTTTCACAAAACTAGAACGTGGCCTCCAGTTGCGAATCGATTTTTCAGATTCAACGTACTTTGCCGCGAAACCTAAAAACTCATCTTTCTTTGTCGTCTTTCGAGAGTAAATTAGCGAACAGTTTTCTATTGGGTCAATTGCCCGTTTGTGAGTGTCATTTTTTCTGAATAAACATATGAGGTTATCATAGACAAAGCCGCCAACCTTTACAATAGTGTTCTGCCAATTTTAATTTGGTTTCGAATATTACTTATTACATTTAGAGTATTTCAGATTACTACAATTTCTCATTTACGGTATATTGTGAGCGGGTACCAGAATTAGCTGTGTATTAGTATAAGTAAGCGCCGAGAGTGCAGTAACTGGTTCCTTAGGGTAATAAAATACGAATCTCTTTATACCTGAGAGGCTTGAAATCACTGGTTAAAACTGTCTTGTAAAATGAGATCTGCATGCAGAGTTTACTCGTTTCTAACATCATCTTTCCAAATGTTAATTTGGGGAATTCTGAAAAATTATGGAATAGGAAAGGAGTGGAGGAACCAGTGCGGTTGAGTAGCATTTCATCATCGAAAAGAAGAGTATAATCTCCTTAAGTTCACTCTAAGGCGAAATAGAAATAACTGGTTCACTTGTCAAGGTACCCAGATATAACATTAAAACATAGTGAGAATGGCCTGGTAAGGAGCGCTCCTTGCTTAGCAATCATCCCCCCTCCCCACCCTTCTCCTTGCCTTCTCCCCCGTGGTGATGAGGACTTAGTGTAATAGCCAGCGTAGCGTAGCTGGTTTTTTTTTTTTTTTTTTTTTTTTTCTTCGTTCGCTTGAATCAGGAAAGGGAAGCGACGAGACAGCCAGCTACGAAACAAACCAGCGCGATTAACTTAAAACAAAGGATGAGAAGCCCTGAACGATTTGATTTAACAATACTTGCATCAGTACTAGCAGAAAGAAATTTGATTTTTACTTTCAACCTGGGTCAAAAACAACTGTAGGGCCAGCTATTTTGATCTCAAATTCCAAAATGTCGAGATGAAAATAATATTTTGGGGCTCTAGACGACACCTACAACGAATTCACTTTCGGCAGTTCTCAGTCAGTGCCATAGATATTGTCTACCTCGGCGAGAATATTCGATCAGATTCTTTTGATGCTTCCCTCTTTTATGTCACATTGTTGTTAACATCAATATTACTAGACCAATAGAAATGCCCACGGTCTATCTATAATTTGAATTTCAAATTTTCCACTGTGTCTGACCGCCAAACGGGGCAGGATGTTTTGTATATTTGCCTTGTATATTTATCCAGTGTGACACTTCTTCCAAACAAACTATCAAGTGCCAAATTTGTTGTTGTGTGTGTTGTTCATCCCCTTAAAATATCAAAAATTGCAGGCGATCGTATATTTTAGAAATACCGAGATATATTTTCCCCAAAATAGCTGTAACACTGACCATTCGAACTTTCTTTTGCTAGCATAACGAGCAACGCGCACGTAAACCATTTCATATTAGATAAAAAAAAACAATATGGAGTTTGAGTTTGGTGGTATCATTTTTACCGACAAAATGCATTTCTCCTATGATTTCTGATTGAAATTTGTATTTTCGTCTAGTGCTATACTTTTTTTTTTTCGTTTTTCGATTACCAGCAAGCGTAATTTTCATTTTCCCTTTAAAATGTGTACCAAACACTGAAGGAATAGTTCTATAATATTTCAATGCTTTCTTTTATAGTTGTCAAGTTTTAAATTGAATGTCAAATAGAAACCATTATTTCTAAAATCGTCTAAGCAAAAAATCTATGCGATGCTGTGACCGAAAATAGCATCATTTATCGCTTTCGGAGTATTTCCTTTTATGCCGGAGTTTTTATTTATGCAAATCATCTTAGGATGAATCGGATGATATACCGTCGGTCTTAGTGGCAATTTCGCTCACAAACTTCGAAGAAAAAAGTTGCTATCTCGCGGTAAAATCTGGTTTATTTCGATATTATTTCAAAATCTTAATTTTATTAAGAACTGCGATTTAATATCAAAAGCGCTTTCGTTACCCGGATTTGTTTACTTAATCTCCACAAGACCATAATCTTTGCTTACATATTTTCTTTCGATGCGTTATTCATAAGGCTCGCCTCCACTCTGTTTGACAGGTCGGTATAAAAACTGTCTAATTAAATATTAAAAACATCGAAGTTTTTTGCGTCCTTCTGTATAAAAATCTTTATGCGATCTTCTCTCAAGGTTTGTTGGAAATAGTAGAACCTTCTGATTTTTTTTCCCGCTAAACCTTTATGTACTATCGCGAAATCAATCACCTTTTTTCGCCTTTTTGTCTTTGCAGCTGTAAACTAACCACATCGAATCGTACGCACAGGATAAATGCAAATTTCTACGAGGTCAAGATAGCTACGGAAAATCAGAAAATACAAGAGTACAATTCGGCAGATTGAGTCAAAATACAGTCAGCCTTTAAGAAAAACAACTCCAGCCAACAGAGAATCAAGAGAGACTTTCCCAGGAAGTTAGCAGTGATTTATCATCCAGAAATCATCGAACAAGAGCGCTTAAACTACCGAGAGAAAACAAAAGTAAATTTATTTGATTTGAGAAAGATTGGATCGTATACCATGTTTTAAGCTTTTAAAAAATATTCTGGCTCGAGTGGTCAAAAATTCTGGTGATCAGATGCTTTCATCAGTTTGATCCGGTCAGCCTTCTCGCTAACTGAAGTAAATCCCTTGGCAATTCTCGCGACGAGTTGTGACAGTCTGAGCGGCGGCCATATTGATTTATCTGGGTCGAAAAATCATAAACTTGGGCGAACAATTTTTCCTCGAAATCTTGAATCGGAATCTTCTGGCAGAACTGAAAAGCCTTCAACAAAGTGAAAAGGCTTTTAGCAACATACCTAGGACTTGCGTTAAAGGGAAAAACGCAGTTGGAATTCCTAGTTTATAATATACTTCATCCGTAGACTGAGTAAAGAGTCACCAATATGTGTTGCAGTTGTCTTTGTAGCTGCATCCAGAGTTTTCTGTCAAACTGTTGCAAATGCCTTGGCAAGAGTTGTATGGCAATATGCCGGGGAATTTGCCGGTGTTTCTGCAACGCCGTTTCTCCTGGTTGTGGTTTTCTTTTGCAAATCATCTTTTACGCCATATTCCAAGGCTTCAACATTGGCACAGACGTCGGCGTTTTTTTGGAAACGTCTAAGACGTACGCGCGCTGCGATGAGCTTTCAACCGGAATACTTCAACCTCTAAGCAACGACACAAACCTAACGCGTCCCTACTGCGTCGCAACGGAAAACGCAACGCAGGCGTTGCTAGGTGAAAAGGCGGCAACGCTTCAACTCCTAGAGGGTGTTTTCTTTTTCTTCATATGCCTCTCTGGAGGGATCTACGTGATCCACATAGTGGTGCTGTTCCCGAACACGTGCAAACACTGGAAGGACGAAAACTTCGAGAACATGGTCAGCGAGGCTGGTCCTTACTACCAGAAGATCCTTCAAATTCACACCTTGTTTCTTTTGCTGGAGACGCTGGTTCACGATGTACCCATGTCGTGTCTGGCTGTAGAGCTCTGTGCGCAGATGTGGGGAGCCGGTGGCATAAACTGCTGGGACTGCGCCATGACACCTCAAGAGCTACCTAAAAATCCCATGGCGCAGATCAATTGTGAGATGTGGCTGGGACTTCTCCTGGGCTCCATAGCAATTGTGAGCATTTATAAGGGTAAGTAATGAAGAGGTTATTTTTATCGTTTTTTAATTTTTTGATTTAGCTTTGATTAGGAACATAGACCTAGACACTGAAAAGGAAAAAAAAAATCAAAGCAAGACAAGACATGACTAAAACAAAACAAAGAATGGAAAACCTATTTACAGGAACATTGTATTACTTCTATATAGTTTCAGAATTTAAATTAAAAGTCCTTCCCTATTTGTAATCATTTATTTACTTCGCTCACAATTTTCCTCGGTGAAGTTTCTTTAGCTCTGACGAAGGGCTCACTCCAAACCTCAGCTTAGAAAGTCTTAACATTGGCCATTTTATGTTAACAACTCAGCTGATAAAATCAAATTACCTTAACGGATACAGCACCACAGTTTCGTTAGAAACTTACCCCCTTTAATTTTTAATAACGGTTCACTTGACTTATGACTAGTAATTACTTATCAACTCGAGACTACAAACAACCTTTTCTTGACGAACTGCCCCTATCTTTAAATGAAATTTTCTTTTCAGGTATCTTGCCCCTTTATGCATGGATTGGTAATCCTTTCTGCTGGGCCTGCTATCCGCTTCGCGTGTGCGTGGTGCTTCCAGCTGGGTTCCTTTACTGTGTGCTCGCCTTATCCCCTGCCATGGGAGTGGCCATAAATCGCCTGTTCGAAGTGGCACCCCAGATGAAGGACGAAATGGGAACCATAGCATCAACCATCTGGACCTTTGGCTTGTTCTTCTGGGGTATCATCTTTTTGCTGACCTTCCTCTATTGGTATTTCTGTGGTAAATGTCTATGTATGTTGTGTTGTCCTTGTGAGAGAAAGGAAAAAGCCGATGGCTCCAAGGAGGGATGTTTGTGTTGTTAACGAGATCAAGACGATGAGATATGAATTGTTTCGTTTCGAATTGTTTCGAATTTGTTTAGTTTCTTGATTGCAACACTAGTTTGTTTACGTTTTGAAAGCTATTTTATTTTTTACTCAACAAATTTTTTTTGATGGCATGGTAACTCGATTAAAAGGGTGGTCCTATCCAGTCTTTTGTTTCGAATAGTTAAGTGGAATCTCATCAACCCGAATACTAAGAATCAGTTTATTTTCGAGGTTGAGGCTTGAGTAATCCTTATTACAACTACTAGAGATACCGTGACCCAATTCCACACTCTGAGGGAGTAGTGGCCTTGGCTCACCAAAAGCAAAAGTCGAAGAAAGCGCAGCAGCCAATCAGAATAAAGAAATATACCACTGAGATCATGCCAGTGTTCGGCATGGGCCTGTTGAAATTAGAATAAGTTATATTAGTTGTCATTATATTTTCCATATATTTATGTATTTTATAACATTGCTTCACGTCTTATTGCGAAAAAATAATGCTGATATCTGAAGATTTCAGAACATTAAACTGTCATCCTGAGATTTTCAGTGTTCTGATATTCGTGCTGCTAGGATACATTATTATTATTTTATCATTATTATTTTCATTATTATTATTATTACTATTGTTATTATCATTATTATTATTATTATTATTATTATTATTATCATTATTTTAATTGATGTCATGTATAAAGTTAAATAAAAATAAAATGTGGAGGTATCGCATTTCCTTTAGGAGACCAGCCCTTTTCTTTACCGAGGCAGAAAAAGAGCTGCTTTGAAACTCTTGAAGGTTTTTTTTTCTTAGCTCTCACCTTAACATTCCACCATTTTTTTTTTGTACAAAGTTTCAGTAAAGATATGATATTTTATTTTGCGATAGACTAAAGCAGAAAAAGCAGATGAAAATGGAAACACTAAACCAAAACACTGAGTAGGTATTTATAATACAATCTCCTTGATAGGAAGAACACGGACATTAGGAAAGAGGTTTTGCTTCAAATAATTATAACTTGGGAAGTACTTCAAAGTCTTAAAACAGTCAGTTTCTTTGTAATTTACTCGCTAGAAAAGTAATCGCCGGTTTAATTTCATTTAATTTCTATAAAGTTAACATCCATTAAATATGTATTAAATAATATAAGCAAATTATGTAAATTTTGTAAATGTAACTGGTTGACTTTGATGAAAGTGATTGGGAAATTATCTTTCTATCTTGTGGAATATATTAGTTGGACATGGGCTTTTTACTATTATCAATATCCGAAAAGTCATTATATGAAAAAAAATACAAATTAATCATGTATCTACACTTGCATTTCAACCTGACCTATTATTTTTGGAAAAAAAAAATTAAGACATATTCAATCAATATAAGTTGCATGAACCTCTCATAAAGCAAGTTTCAATTGAGTGCCGAAAGTAGTCCGGGATCGCTTTGGTTTTATTAAACTTTGCACTTCGATTTGACAAGAAAACTCGCCCAATCCTCTCAACCAATCAGATGTAAAACTAAAAACAATCACGAATTAGTCATTCCCGTTTTCCCGTGCTTCCATTTGTTTTATTTTGAGTTCTCATTGGTTAATGTTGATGTAAGCTTCTTTTCTGTTTGATCGCGGAGGCGGCGTGGCCGAGTGGTTAGGGTGCTGGACTTGTAATCCGGTGTCCTCCACCCTGCCACTCGCTGGATTTGTTCTCGGTTGCCCCTGGTTCAACTCCTCGGCTGCGCTCTGTAAATAGCCCACCGGCCTGCCTCCTGCCAGTGAAGATTTTTAAGCACTTAGTCAGTTTACATTGCGGCTGAAAAGCCCCTTAGGGGGAGCTTCAATTTACGTATTTATTATTTATTTATTTTATTTTATTATTTTTATCGCTGAGATTACTTTGGTTTTGTTGTTTCGACGCTCAGTTGAAAACTGTTCTATCAAATTGACACAACTTGCATTTATCTGGCATGGATTATTATACTTTAAGAAGTATTCCTTTAGGTTGATCTCAAATGAGAAAGGCATTTTACTGGGTAGCCAGGGAAATGCAGTTGTCAAATGATTTTAAATGAACTATTTTCATAATACAGTAGTGAGAAATTGAAACTTGACTGAAATGCAAGCTTCAAAAAAAGAATTTTCACATGGAAACAAGTAAGCTAACCCGTAAGTAAACCAGAGTGTTTACAAACTGCAAACCAATTTAAGGTGGAAGGGCTAATAGGAGGTTAGCTGAAAAGTTCCTTGCAAAAGTTACAAGTTATAATCTCCTGGAGGGAAAAAAAGATTAATTTTGGAGTAACAAGATAACAGTGATGAGCGTGGCAGTAACTGCGCCCAAAATTAACAAATGGTAAACACCACAGCGAACACTATTGAGTTATGGATGCACGCGGGAGGTTGCTAAGCACGAAAGAAGCGTAAGAGTCGCTCGACCCGATAGCCGAGAGCGACTCTAGCTTCTTGAGTGCTTAGCAAACCTCCCAAGTGCATCCATAACTCAATAGTGTACGCTGTGGTGTTTACCATTTGTTTTATAACATAACATTGATTCATTGTAGCTAAAGAGTTCCCTTTTATTTAACAAATCTTACGCGACCAGAAAAAACAAGCGCGCGCGGAAAAATAGTCTTTGCATTTGCTCACGTCGGCAGCGTACACCCATGGGCAAATGGGGGACGCTAAATTGACCAATCAGAGCGCGCGCTGATCTTTGGTTATGTTATAAAGTTAAATAATTAGTTTAAATAAGGAAAATAGATACATTTGTGTGGTTAAGAACATACTTCTATTTAAATTTTCCTTTAAGGTAGTTTTCACTCACAATATCATGGTAAAAGGGGCTCATTAGAGTTTATTTTTGCTGTGCTAGATCTAACACATAACGCTGCTACGTATCTTATCCTCTGCAATAGATCGCTTTAGTAATATCTTGCTAGAAAACCAAATCTCGATGATTTATCTACAGCTCTTGAGATATGGTTGTCACGATTGCAAGGGATTTATAGCGGCGAAAAATCGCTAGAGTGATGATTTGGTAACGAATCACCCCTTCAATTTCTTATAATCTTGAAAGTGCGATGCTTCGGTTACAAATTTGTGATAAAACAGGAGGTGCTGATTGACGATCATCGTTTAACTTGCAATTAGCTACTTTTACACAGCATTATGTTTACACTTGGATTGAAAACGGCTCATTGAACTGATATTATTGCTTTAGATTACATTTCTTGACCTGCTATGAAAAAAAAAACAACCTAACCTGTATTGCTTAAGTGTAAAATCGTACGAAAACAATAAATTATTATTTTCAAAGTCGTGCAGTAATGAATACTTTGTTCTGTCAGTGGGTTTTAATAATACGATATTTCCACCCTTTTGTAAGAGTCGAACGAATGAGTACGTATCAGGAAAAACAGAAGCCGAGTTCTGCGGATTCTCGCCACTCGTCAAAATGACGATATGCGCTCTTTTATTCCCTTTTCTTGCCAACCATATCTTTAAGTGCAGTACGAAGCATAGTGTCAAAATATGTACGTACCTCAACCTTAAATAATATGAATCCATAAACTCCTACGTGAGAATTTGAAATTACAATACGTTTGCTTCCAAGCTTTGCAAGGTGAAATAGCGCAATGGCAGATTATTTAGGCTCATTACTTAGATAAAGACGCAGATAATAATTTTCTCCAATGATTATAACACTGACTAGCAATCTTCAAAACAATTTTGCAGTAAATATTGTTTACACGCATCTCTGAGCTTGGAAAATAATCTATTAGCTAAATGACAACTCTTTTTCTAGAATCTCGTTTACAGACACTTCAAAATTACAAGTGGCTTAAGAGTGATTGAAATGCATTCAAGAGATTGTATACAGTTTATAATCTCTTGGAGCATAGAAGTGAGTAACCAGTCCCCAGTTTAGGCATATTTTAGGGCCATCTTGCAACAGCCAGTATCAACTATGTTTATCAAGAGCTCTTCTCTGGCGCCTCGGTGTTGTTATTTCTGAAGTTCATTTTTAGAATTTTGCACTTAACGGTTCAGTTTTCACATCATCATTTTCAAGCATACAAAATAATAGTGAGTTTATCAGAGAATCACTGGTGCGGCAAATGTGGTTCACGCGATTATCTCTTGTCCTGCCTGCCTCTACAGAATCGATCTTTCGTCTCCTTACAAGAATTTTTTTTTAAACTCAATGAAAGCGAGTTATAAAAGTTTTGGGAAAATACTCCCAGGGGAGGGACTATTACAAAAGTCACGCGGCTCAATAAATGATCCTTTTTGGACAACATACACAATCAGCCCTTAAGTGAGGGTGAAATATGTTGGAAATGTTTGTGGTTAAGTTGATTGATTGTAAGCCTTCCCGAAATAAGAAGAAAAAATATTGTCATATCTGGAATTTATACCCTAGCAACGAACGCTTCGTCATAACGAAGTAACCCATCGGTACCACGATTCAGAGACACACTATGTCTTGCTTACACAACAAAAACCGCACGCTTCACTAGAGTTTTCGTCTGTTTGTGCTTTCTCAAGCTTGAATCTCAAAAGTAAAACCATTGATCAACATCCCCTTTTGACCAGAACCTGATAACCATAGCTTCTTTGGAAGCGATGCTACTTGCTAATTTTTTGTATGAAAGCGAAAACATTTTAAGATTCTAAACCAATATAATTACTTCCCAAATAAGTAACGCTCGACCTGTTTTCGCAACTTTATGCAAATATATCTTTCTTTGAACCATCAGCGCAATACAATAAGTACTTTACGGTCTCATGGGTTCGTCGCTTCCTTTGCATAAATTAGAACCTTACCTTCAACAAAACTCAAGTGAGCATGTTTAGGGAAATTTTGGTGCTTTTCTTAAGTTATTAATGGTCAAAAGGTGATCAGGATGATCCTTCAGATGACAAACATTTTCTGGACGTAAAGGTATTTGATAAATACTTTTATACCGGTGCTTGATTTTGACTAAGTATCGTGCTCTGAACACTGAAACAGTTAAACATAAGTTTGGCATAAATAGTATTTTCAAACATCAGCTTTCCGTGAAAGGTGTAGTCAAAACCACAACTAAAATCAGCAAAATGTAATAGATCTAGTGCTGTGGTGAGATGACTTACGAGAAAGATTGTTTTCGAACTCAGACGTGATTGACAGCCAATTAATAGCAAAAGTGCGATAACAAAAATATTGATAAACCAGGAATTGTCAAAACAAGTTTAGGAAATTCTACTGCTTGTTGACATCTCCTTTTCAATACTTAGATTCCCAGCCTCCCTAAGACTACAAATCTTAAAAGCTCTTAACCTTCGTAAAGTTCAGTTCTCAAATCTTCGCGACACAAAATGGCAGATAGGCTTTGTGAGCTTTGCATCGGCTGTTGTTCAACGATCTGCGCCATCTTTTGCCGAGAAATGACAATGAAGACGGCCTATACTGTCCAATTTGTCATATACAGCATTTTACAAGGATACAACGTCGCCTCAGACATAGGAATGTTTTTCGACGTTTTCAACGCTGTAAGGAAATGCAATGAACTGGAAGAGAACTCGAATGCCAATGGAACTCAAGTCGACCCGGGAGGAGCAAGGATCTATTGCAGGGCACCAGGAAACTTTACAACATCAGATCTCGACAAGCATATCACAACTCTGGAAATTCTACAATGGTTTTTCCTAATTTTTTCTGGGATTGGTTTTGCGCTGTACATCGCACATGTATGCACACTACTGCCAAATTTATGCAAGCATTGTCGAGAACCAGAATTTGAACACGACCTTGGCTCACTAGATACACCAAAATACTACCGAAGCATTGTACACATTCACACCATGTTTATGTGCATAGAGACATTTATTCATGACATTCCCGTATCCTGTTTGGCTGTGGAGTTGAGCGTACATTATTTTGGGTCAGCAAACTGCTGGGAATGCGCAATAAGCGCCAGCTCGGTTCCCGCCGAGCTCTCTTTGAAAAGAGGTAGTCTGTGGATTGGGCTTAAAGTGTCAGCGGTTGCATTAATCACCATCTATAAAGGTAAGACAACTGAAAAAGAGATGACACCGTTTACCTACTGATAAACTCTTTTGGGCTGTTCCACAGGGGTGAAGAGGAAAGCTTTTAACCTTAAAATCAACGCAGCAGGAAAATTTGGCGGGTTTTAGTCTTTGTCGATTCTCCAGATCGTATTCGGCCCACCCAAAAGATTTTTCTCAGAAAAGAAAAAATCCATCAGAATGAAAAAATACAAAAAAATAAAGCTGCTTTTATAGGCAGGCCAATATGTGTGGGACATAAACAAAGAACGCCCACCTTCTGTTTGCACTGTTTACGTCCAAACTCATAATTAATGGTTTTTTGCTATTTTCTTTTCCTTTTTTTTTTCCCGAAGGCTCAAAAAAATAGTCTGATTTTGTTTTGTATTGCAAACGTCGCCACAAGACGATCATGAAATGTTGCAATGACAGTGAAATCACGTCACTTCTAGCATTCTGTTTTTCTGATCTTATTGATGATCTCTGAAATGACTAGCTGAAATGTAAACCAATATATTTTACCTTGTTTTGCGAGTCAATACTTGTTTAAAGTTTACAATGTACCACTTAAATCATCTCTTTTTTAGTAAGCCAATAACCCTTGAACTGAAATAAAAAGCTTTCCTTAAATGTTATGGTGGAGAGATATTAGAGAATGAAATCATCCCTATTCTTGGTGATCTAGGGAAGCTATCAGAAAACAGATCAAATTTCACTGATTCTGCTCTTGTAGGAATCCTACCCGATGTCTATTTGGTGTTCACCAAACTTCCGTGCCATTTGTGGAATTAGTTACAGGGAGGCCAGAATTTTTTAGATCAATAACAACCTCAGTGGGATGAACTTTTAGATATAGGTCATATGGAGAAGTTAAGTTTTAAAATTAGACTCCTGTGTTCTATTGTCGATTCCTTCTCCAATTATTGAATTCTCCACAGGGATCCTTCCATTATACTTTTGGATTGGGAACCCTTTCTGCTGGAGCTGTTATCCCTTAAGGTTCTTGATCGCTGCACCAGCCGGGCTTGGTTTTATGGTGATGATCCTGGCTCCATGTATGGGCATTGCAAAGCTCAGAGTCATGGTAGAAATCCCAGATCTGGCAGGTGCAGTCGGTGGACCTTCCGACATCATCTTCATGATTGGACTGGTTTTCTGGGTAATTCTCATTGTCGGCTTCCTGGCTTACAAGATCTTCTATAATTTCATCATGGAGTTGTGTCCTTGCCTTGCTTGGTGCGAGGACGACGATAAGAAAAAGAAAGAAGCAAAAGAGGAGAAGACAACTGGATGCCTATGTTTCTAGTAATGTAACTTACAAAACCAGAACCGCACTTTTATTGGACAGGATATTTTTTTACTGACGGATTATAATCCTGTCTTTATCTTGACTATCATAATAACAAAAGTAAGCCATAATGCTACACGAACATGCTCATCCGGAAATCGACACAACTATTTTTGTTAATACGGATCAGGTGTTTATAGGAAACTTGTTCTACAAAGCCTCAGGCCTAATCAGGGTTTTTAAGAATTAGGTATCAGGGGTATGTTTTATTCAGTTATACAGTATTTTTGCATGACAATGCTGACTTAAAATGTCTCCTTTTTTTACTTTTTTTTTTATTTGGTACATTGACACTATTCAACAATTCGAGACAATTTTAACCACTGCTAGCCAATTAATGTTGAGATTTTTGCAATCTTGGCGAAAATACTGGGTATATCAGTGTCCTTCTTACGTACACTAGAAGCTAGCTGAGATCCTTCTTTAATGGAAAAGTTTTAATGTTGACTAGGCGCTCGAGAAATGAACTGATATAAATCATTCGATCGATTCCATTGTGGGAAAAGATCTCCTAAACTCGTCCTGACTGTAAAATTTCAATATCCTGATTTTGTCAATTATTTGGGTCATTCCCAACTGAATGTACGTATGCGTGGCATGCTAAGTAGAGGATAAAAATCCTGCACTCTCACTCCAAGTCATTAAATCTTAAGAAAAATTCGATTTGTTGAGCTTTTCAATTTGTGTGCGCTTTGCAATGCTGTAGTAATGAGCAAAATAAAAAAGAAAAAAACCACCAAGTTATGAGGAAGTGTTCGAAAAAAATGTGATTAGGGGAATACTGCCTAAGCAAATAGTATAGATAAGCTCTTGTTTGAAACATTTTAAGGCCTGAGTTTGTAAATATTGTGGAGTTAAAACTTATGCATGTTCATAAAAAGCTGAGCATGAAAATGGTGGGCAGATGCTATGGAACAAAATAAACTGAGTTTACAACAGGTCTGTTTTACTTCTTTTTGCCAAGCAATAAAACATGTTCTTTCTCTTTTGAAGGTTTCTTTGCAATACCCAATGATACTGCTGAATGAACCTTAAGGCTTCTTCTTATAAGGTTCTACTTGCGGGGAACTCTAGATCTGTTATTATTTAAATTTCAGTGCGGACTCCACGCTCATAACGTGCCAGCATCCTCGCCCGCTCCACCAAGTGAAACTCTCAGGAATCAATGCATGCAGCAAGTACGACAAACTGGAACTAGGGGATAAGTAGCTAGAAACAGTCGAAATGTAAAGGCCTCTAGTCCTTTGTTTGTCGCGCTATAAAAACATACATTTAAATCTATATAAATTTTTAACTAAAATTTGGGAGTTGAAACAAATAAAGGATAACAAACTAGTGTCTTCACCCTCCAACTCCAGTTCCTAGAATAGTAACGTAGCAATACTAAAAGTGGTCTTTATTTCCTCACAGGCCGGTAAAACTCCAGACCTTACCGCGTTACAAAGTAAAACGTTAAAAAGTAGCAATGTGGTCAAAAATGGTAAAAAACATCTAAGAACTTATAAACTTTCTACGCTACCTTTTATTCAAACATCAGACGATTTATATAATAATATTTATTATTACAAGACACGGGCAGTCAGAGGGCCAATAACTGAAATCAACCTATCAAAATGCTCTATTGCCGGTCCGATATTCTCTAAGTATTGGACCGGGCACTTTCCCGAATGGTCCCGAATGATACCGCACTTGTGTCCCTTTGAACTTCAGTTGTATAATAAATCTCTTATTAACCAAGCTTGCTCAGGACCGCACTGGAAGAATATAGGCCCTCGGTCTTTTTTGTACGGACCGAGCGCAGCGAGGTCCGTACTGTCAAGACCTCGGGCCGATATTCTCCCAGTCGGCCCTCGCGCTTGGTTAATAAGATATATAAACCGTCTGTATTAACCATGGTGCAATGGCTTGATTCGTCTCCTTGTTCTTTAGAATTAAATTTCTAAGAGGATTGAAACAGGTTAATTTTGCCACTTTTTCGAAAAATATGTTTGAGCTGTATTTCTAGTTTTTTCAAATGCGTTGATGGCCTTAGATACATAAATATGCGATTACGAAATCTATCTTCAAAGCTTCTAATTCTGGTGAGCTCGGCTTTGCCACACACAGGAAGACCGTACGTCATGTGAGGAAGAACTAAACTAGTGAAAAGTTGGTCCAACTTTGTACAGGAGTTCTAACCTTCGCAAAGATTTGAGGTGGCTNCTAGAAAAGAGGCAATTTTCATACATCGCAAATTTACTTCCGTAGAAATTTCTATTTTTTTTTGATGATTCCTTTCGACGTTATTATCATATTGGAACAATAAAAAGAAGGGGTCACCGGACTTGTTTTCATGCAATAGCTTTCGTGAGTTTAGCAATTTCCACGCGCGTTCTCGCGCATTTAAGAATCTGGATTCTATAAGATCGATATTTGCTCATGATCTGTTATAGCTACCGCTGACAATTGCGTGTGCTCGCGCGCGCGCCTACGATCTGATGTTTACATACGTTTACTTTACTTTCACATGTTACCCCCGGGTTCAAACCATTTACTGCAATACGTTTACTGCTAAGAAAATCATTAAACAGCTGTCAAAGACAGCGTCCCAGGCTCATCTTAAAAATCCTATACACGACTTCTGGCTATATCTGTTTATTTTCCTTTAAGTTTCAAAGTCTTCTTCCACTTCAGGTAGATTATCCTTCAGTTGAGTTCTTCTTTTTTCGCCGTCGCAAGATTTCATATCGGTTAAATATTTCTTTGAAATGTGAAGTGAAGCAACCTTTACTTTTCCGAAAATCGTCTTCTTTATCTTAGTTTCTATCTCCTGCATTCTCAGTGGCCGCTCAACACATCAAATACAAGCTCTTAGGTAAACTTCTCTCAAAAGTAGAAAAAAATCCTCGCGCCGCCATCTTTGTTTTAAATTTTCGTCTTTTAATCTCGCGCTTCTTTCGCACGTTTCTCTCGCACGTGACGCAAGAGATATCTGTTCCCCGCGCGAGGAAACTAGTACGAGCCACCTTAACAATAAAAAGGCTTTCATTGGCCTTAATGAGCTTTCTTCGAACATGAACCAAATGTTACATTTGTGACTTGAAACTGAAGTTTGATGAAAGTATTTCCATACGATATTTATTACTGGGCGTTTGGGAAATATCTTAGTTTTTCCTTACATAAGTTACTAGTTTGGCAAAAGCAATAGCCTTCGGCAAAAAATGAATAATATTGTCAAAAAGAGATTCATGAGTGACTTTTGTCCATTTTCGCGCTCGCTATTTTAACTAGAAATCACTGTCTTAGATCAAATAAAGTTGATTCTACGCTCACGAAAATCCTTTGTAAAGGTCCTTCTCAGCTAACATACAAGCTCTTTGGGTTATCTCGGGATATCTTTGGCGCAAGGAGGTTGACAATTGTCTGCGCGCAGACGTCTGCCATTTCCTTTGTTGCACGTGTGCAACTTTTCCGCGTGCAACAAAGTAAATTAAATAGGAGACTTCTGCACGCAAGCAAGTTGAAGCTGGCAAATAAACTATGGATTACGTAATGGTATATCTACCGGGTTTAAACGGTTTGGGGTCTGGCGGAAAATGATTTCCCTTATTCCTTGTCTTAATTCTGGCATACGCATTGCGTAGATTATAGGATTTATCAGCGAGTTGGCTACTAATAAAACCGCTGTCGTTTCTTGAACATGAAAAAGGGACTGGGAGGTGATAACATCAAATAACTGGGGATGAAACGAGGATACAGCCAGACGTGCTATCAATGGAAACCAAGTACTTATAGATCCCATTGCCACTATAAATAATGTGCTCGTCAATTTTCTCTCCCTATTTCTTGCTGCGCTATTACGATGCAGTTGACGATTAAAGCGGACTTTGATAAAAATAGAAATGTAAGAAAGAGTTGTTACAAACAATAAAATTAAAATAGACAAAAACATCCTAATGGAGTAGCTAGTGATGATGCCGTTTAAATATCCTACTCCAATCCCGGCGGCTGTAGTTAACCAAATGACATTAATTACAACTGCATAAACCCATTTCTTCATAAAACGATGCTTGAATGGACAAAACGTTGCGTGTGCTCGGTCTAGTGCAATTGCTGTGAGATTTACAAGCGAAGCAAGAGGGAAGACTTCCCCTATCACGCTTAATAGGAGACTTTTTGGTGCGTTCCTCCACAGATCACAGCTACCCAGTAGCCACAAAATATCCAAAGGCCCTGACACAGCCCCTACCAAGAGGTCAACTATCGCCAGATGGATAATCAAATACGTACTTCGGCGCTGTAGCTGGCGGTTCTTTACCAGTACAATTATCGTCATCGTGTTCAGGACGATTACGGCCAGATATTCAATAATGAAAACGACGAGCCACGGGATGCACTGTGATGCTGGAAGCACTGTCATTTCCGTGCTCGTGTTGGTAGCCATCGAAGTCTTGTCGTTGTTCGCGGAAACACTTGAGTTAAAAAACAATGTTTATGTAGTTTACATATTTGTATCTGAAACACATCATTTTGGAATTTTTCCATGGAATATTTTCAATGTAAGGTGAAAAAGAAGCTCAACTTACCCAAATGGAAACTTTTTGACGGAAAAGGAGTTTAATCCAACAGCTCAATCAGACAAGCTGGATTTTCAGATTAACCGTGGTTCTTGTTCGATCAATTCCAACTAGTCATTCTTAAGATTCCTTAGAGAGGTTTTTTATAATCTCACGAAAGGTCAGGAATGCTTACCTGAAACTTCAAATATATCTGAATATGCGTAGGTTCCAAAATAAAACACGCTTGCATAGTGGCACAAGTAGTTTGTGACGCAAGCTGCTAAGAATCAAAGTTGTTGCGCTTTTTTTCTGCAGGCAGCACAATATCTTTTGTAAAATTAAGCCGTAAGGACTGATTATGTTCTCCTAAGTGTTGGTAATTTCCACCAGTAGCTCAGACTTGTGCTCGGTCGATGCGTCATTTGTTACAAAGTTTCCTTTGCAATGAATAGCGTTAGTTTTAAGAAACAAGATTTTTTCACCTCAAATTTGAAATGCCGCAGCATAACTGTGATGTCATAGTCATGTCAATAACAATTAATAGATATAAGTAACAGTAGAAGGCGGATATGAATGGCATGTATGTACAAATAAAGTTACTTCCACATATATATAGTCATTCTCCATTAAAACGCTGCAGTGTATCGACGGTTTTATTTGCACAATTTTCGATTCTAAGTCGACCGTTGGTTTAAGCTTAGAATGTGGGTTTATAACTGCTCAATGGTCTCGATAAGCGTGAAAAGGTGTCTCGAAGTAGTTTCCACTCAATGGTTTTAAACGATGAATTTATAGTTATTTTTAATGCTGACCGATTCTCCTAATGACTTCCCCTGTATGTTAGGTCAGCAGCTTATTTGAAAGCAATTTAGTTCTCAAAATAAAAAATCATTATGTAGGTTCTTCGAGAAACTACTGGTTTTCATCTAACTCAACCATCTTTTGACAGACATGGGAGAAACTTATGTCTCGTTTCAGTCACAATCTCTTTTCAGTTACGACTATACTATTGCCGGCTTAAGCCTCGCTTTTCTCCATATCAATAGGAAACCATTTTATCTTGATGTAGGCTCTTAAGAAAAACTACCGGTTTTCATTCAACTCAAACTTTTTGTGAGGATAATGGTACCCATTTCAATGAACAGAATACGCTTAATATATCGACTTCCTGAACTCTAGACAATTATCCTAATGATCTCCTTGTATGTTGGGTTAAGGACGATTAGGGGTTTTTCCTAGCCCATAAGGGTTGGAGAATAAAGAGGAATTTAGGTTATATATTAGTTTGTAATTGACGTCATGTACTAATTTTATTCAGTAGGACCCATCTATATCCACCCGAAATATTTTCTTATTACCTTAGCTGGCCTTAATTGTAAAAGAATTTTTAATATAAAGAA